CAAGCATAACCTCCCTTGGAGCTTTGCTTTTCTTGCCATTTTCTAGTATATATGGCTTGCCAAAAACAAAGCAGTGTTCGAAGGAGATAAAGATTGGATTATAAGCAAAGAGTCTCAACTAAGATATCATTTAATGGAAGCAGTTCTTTACCTAAAGAAGCATATGGGAACCCCACGTTCTGAGCAACTCATTGGGTGGAAAGACCCCCATCAGGCTTTGTGAAAATTAATGTGGATAGCTTAGCTAGAGGGACACCAGGAGAGTTTGCAATAGGAGGTTTGTGTAGAGATTCAAATGGTGACTGGGTTTTTGGCTTCACTCAACATTTGGGAATGGGTTATGCAATTAGAGCAGAACTTTTTGCAATCTAGAAAGGCTTGACTTTAGGATGGGAGAAAGGCTATAGAAAAGTTATAATCAAAACTAATTCCCTATTGGCCAAGCAGAAATTATAAAGTTTAGGGAGTGCCAATGCTCTTTACCCTTTATGTCAAGACTGCATTGAACTGATTAACAATAATTTGGTTTGTGAGCTACGTCATGTTTTCAAGGAGGCAAATTCCTGTGTTGATTCTATGGCCTTTGGTTTTTATCATCTAGCTAAGGGCTTCTATTTCTTTGAGGAACCTCCATATATAGTTCATGACAATATTCGTAATGATTCTTTAGGTGTTTGTAAGCCTTGTGCTTCCCGACTATTCAGTGCTTAAAGCATTGCCCCATGTTCCCAAAAAAAAAAAAAAGTATCCTTGGGAACTTTCTTAAATTTAGTTTGTTTATAGTTTGACCATTTAATAGCAATTACCACCAAGCAAACATAATCTCAAGACTAATGAATAGTTAAACTTTACTATTGATATTTTTTTACTAAGCTAAGATACGAATAAGACATATGTATTCCTTCTATTTTTTAAGGAATAGGTATTCCTTGATTTTTTTTACTAACATAAAAAGAAAATTAGATATTTGAGGTTTAGTTATTTCGAGTTTCTCATGAAAATTTCTCAATTTAAACTTTTTATAGCTTGACTAAGGAATAACTACTATCATAAACCAAATAAACCCATGTCCTCTTGGAGAGGTCTCAGTGGTTAAGAACTTGAGTTTTTATGTTAGAAATGAAAACTCAAGTTTGAATCCTAGGCTGGGTGGAGATGGGTTTGAGAAGGAAAGAATCTTATTGTATAGCCCATCATTTAACGTACTCAAAAGAAAAAAACCAAATAAGCCCTTGAAATCAAATCTAAATAGACACAACTAGAGTAAAATTAAGAAAATGGATTCAAGGAAGACAACATGAGGATGAGCATGAGGAAGATCCAGGGACAAGGAAAGGAGAATGAGAAAGAGAGAGAAGAATGTAAAAAGAAAAAGAAAAAGAAGAATAGCAAGGGCCATGTACATGTTTGGATCTCACTTGTCATTTGATCCCTCAATGATTTTCTGAAGGGGTTTATTTGACTTGAGGGAAATAGACAAAAGAGGGAAGGAGAGGAGTGGAATAGAGGGAGATATATAATTATAATAGTAAGTGTTTATCAACCAAATTTTTTAAAAATTAAGAGGTAAAACATTATAAAACTATATCTTTCAATAAATTATTACGGAAAAGACTAAAATAACCACTTTCAAAACAAGATTGAGATTTTTTTGGTCTCTTCCTATTTTACATTATCAAAACAGCATGGTTTTGAAAATTTTTTTCCTTTTTTTTTAAAAAAATCTTGTTAATAAACACTAATCTCAAATTAAACCCTAAGGGCATGGTTGGTCTTTTTCTTATTATGCTAATGTTACTTTTTAATATCTAAATAAAAAATTCAAAAAATGAAACCCTATGGGCATGTTTAGTTTGAGGGAAGAAAAAGAGAAACAAGGAGAAGCTACTTAATTAACCAATCAAATTAATTCGTTGGGTCCACAATTAATTTTATTGCTTGGATTAGCCTTCTCTCAAACTAAAGAAACTATAAAGTAAAATTGTATTTTAAATCAAAGTTAATTAATTAATTTTATAAAATATTTAATTTCTTCTTTTCCTTTACTATGTTCATTAGAATATATGCAAATGAAGGAAGAGTAGTGCTGCAGCCCTTCATTTCCCTCTCCTTCCCCATTTTTGTTGGACTAAACAACTTCTAAGGCATAAAAAAATAAACCATCTCTATGGAAAAA